ATTTCATTAATTTTTTCAAAAATGAATCCATTCCCCAGTACTATTTAGTTCATCTTGAGTTTCTACCACCATATTTACCAGACTACAATCCTGCATGCTGTTAATATGTATTTTTTTTATTTGTAATTAATTTCATGTTTTTAAGCTTACAGTAAGTATTTCATTATTGCATAGATTGAGCAAGAATTATTAATGTCAAAATCAGGATTCTATACAAGAGCCTGTGTAGGGTTTAGATTTTACATGTATAATAATTGATAGAAATTTGGCAAGGGCATGTTTCCAGCATAGTGGATATTTGAATTAATTATAAATGAAACATGCAAATTGTATTATTTAAAGAAATTTTTTTATAGCACAGTAAATTAGCAATTAATGCTAACTATTATATAAATTTAAGTATAAAATATTTTTACATAAATTTATAAATTTTTATATAATATATTTATAAAAAAATAATTATAGATAATTATATCAATCTTGAATGTAACCACTATAAAAAAAAAAAAATCTTGAATGTAATTAAATATAATTATCCATTTAAAAAAGTTTATTAATTATTCAAATATAAAGTTAAAAAGTATTGTTCTCATACTTATTATCAAAATTACCTGAATTAACTATTTATCATCATTATTATCATCAAAAGATCCTTATTTATTTATTTATTTATTTATTTTATGGATAGTCAGGAGTATTATTATATTGATTATTAGAAGCTATTTTAAAAATATATAAAGAAACACAATATAGAAACTTCACCTCCAACAAAGGACAAGTCCCTTGAAATGAGCCCTAACTAGAATTAAAAAGACAACTATCTAATAACCCAACCAAAATTAGACAGTGAGTGGTATAATAAAAAAAATACGCACTTATATCTATCTAGTAGTAGGTAAACTATACATGAAAAGTAATATTTCTATTAGAAAAAGTAAAGGTCAGAATAAGCTTGTATTAATCTGTTGTAGCACTGAACCACTATGTAAGAAATTTGAGGAGGCTAATAAAATTATAAGATCAGCCCTATTATTATGATTCCAGAAAGAAGCCGCTTGCAGACACATATATTTAAAATATATTGGATGAGCACCAGAGTGTCTATTACAATGAGCATGATTCATTGGTATTGTCATGTAATCATCAATCATTTTAAGTTTGCAAAACAAGAGACAATCTATATCACAAATATCATAGATGTATGATATGTCACAAAAATCATAGCTGATAAATGTAATATATATTTTTTATTTGTTATATCTACTATATTTATTTTATTAGTTAAACTAGGATTCACCTGTTAACTACGTTAACAGTTAGTGTTTAAAATATTATTAAATTATGAAAGAAATGGCCAATAAGGGAAAAAAAAAATGACTTAGTTTTTAAACAAAAGGGACTGCCAATGAGGGAAAGAAATGAAAAGTAAAAAATTTTTTTAAATATTGGATTAAAACGAAAAAAAAAAAATTATTTTTTTTTTAGATGAAAGGGATTTTTTTGTTCTTTAACTCCATTCTAATTTCGTTTCTATACTTCTCTGTGAATTACATTGTATTATTAAATTACATGTAAAAGTTAATAAAAAATACTTTATTAAATGGTTTATAAATAATTTTTTTATTTATTAGAAATAATAAACAAATTTTTTCCAACATGATGTAACTGTGTCAAAACTATTAAGAAAAAAAGAAAATAAGATTTCTTTGGTTCTCCCTTACCTCAATTATAAAATTCTGGTCATCATTTTTTTTCTGGAAATTCTACATAAAAAAAAAATAAATTATTAAATTTATCAAAAAAAAAATAACAAACCCTTCTCCCAGTCCTTTACCTTGATTACAAAAGTCCAGTCATATTTTTTCATCCGGCAATCCTACAAAAAAGAAAAATTAATTAAATTAATTAAATTCATTGAAAAAATTAACAAAAAACTTTCACTGGTCCTCCTTTACCTTAATTATAAATCTGTTCATGTTTTTCATTTGGCATTACTACAAAAAGTAAAAAATAAATTAGTTAAATTTATTAACATAAAAAAATAATGAAAAACCTTCCCCTCAGCCCCCTCCCTCACCTAAATTCCTAAAGTCCAGTTATGTTTTTCATTCGCAACCTTACAATAGAGAAAAAATAAATAAATTTATTAAAATGGACCTTTCTTCAGTCCTTCCTTACTTCAATTTCAAAGAGTCCAATCATGCTTATTGTCCAGCAACCCTACAAAATGAAAAAAAATAAACTATTAACATTTTTTTAAAAAAAAACTTCCTGTCCAGACCCTCCTTAGTTCTTTACAAAAACCCAGTCATAATTTTTGTCCAGAAATCTTTAATACAGCAAAAAAAGAAATCATCAGATGATTCGTACTATGCAATCTGTCTGATAATCTAACTTTCCTGTGCCAGATTTGCATAAATCATCGACAATTTGATAAATTTGGCAATTTCGGCTGTATAAATTCAATACGACTGTAAAAATACAATATGGCATTGCATCAGTATTTTTACAGATGTAATGTCAAAACTGTAATTAATTCGCGGATAAATATATTCATTTCATCTTTGCTCTCAGCTCTTCAGCAACTTCAGCGCTTTAGAATTTCAGGTGGGTTCTTGTTTTTTGTTCTCTTTTTTTCGTTTTCACTTTATTCTAATTTTGTTTCTTTCTAGATCCCAGTTCTTTTGCATTTCAGCTCTTCAGTTCAAAGGTAAGTCTTTTTTTCACTTTTTTTGTTTTGTTTCGTTGCTTTTTTGTTCTTTTCATTCTAACTAACTCTCTCTATTCTTAGGTCCCAGTTTTTTAGCATTTGGCTCTTCAGCTCAAAGGTACGTCTTTTTTTTCATTTTTTTTTATTTCATTTCTTTGTTCTTTTCATTCCTTTTATTTTAACCAACTCTTCTCTTTTCTTAGAACCAATTTTTTAGCATTTTGGCTCTTCAGTTTGAAGGTACAACTTTTTTTCATTTTTTTATTTGTTTCATTTCATTTCTTTTACATTCTTTTGTTCTAACCAACTCTTCTCTCTGTTTTTAGGTCCCGGTTTTTAGCATTTTGGCTCTTCGGCTCAAAGGTATGTCTTTTTTTCTCATTTTTTTTGTTTTGTTTCTTTTTTTTCATTTTTTTCATTCTAACCAACTCTTCTTTCCTCTTAGGTCCAAGTTCTTTCTTTGAAAACTTTGGCGCTTTGGTATTCAGTTCCACATTTCAGGTTTTAAGGTGGGTTTTTCTCTTTGTTTATATTTGTTTTTTTTTTATTTTCACTTCATTTTAACTTATTTTCTCTTAGGTCCCAGTTCTTTCTTTGGCTACTTCAGTGCTTTGGCATTTCAGTTTCACATACAGGTGGGTTCTTTCCTTTTTTTGTTTTCTTTTTCATTTTCTAAATTCATTTCTAAATTCTTTTTCTTTTCTTCTTTTTTTTTTGTTTCTTTCTTTTTGTTCCTTTGTTTCTCTTTTTCATTTTTTCACTGTGCTTTTTTTTCTTTTTTTTTTCTTCAATACCCAAAGAAAAAGGAGAAAGGAAATGATATGAAAAAAATTATTAAAAAAAACAAATGCGTAATTATTTTTGACGTGTTATATATATAAATATCAAGATCAGTACTTTTGTACATAATGTGGTCACACAATTGTAAATGGTTATTTATGTGGTAGTCTAAACATAACACCCATATGATTGCAGTGTTTTTAAATATTAGATTATATAAATTTATTTTATTTATTATGTTTCTTCCATCTTACCCACCAATTCATCATCATCATCATCACAGTCATTATCATCATCACTACTTTTTTCATTTATTACTTCTACAACTTCTTTATTACCATAATTTTTACTCTTTTTTAACATTAATTTGGCAGCTTTTTTATCACCATGATTTTTACTTTTTTTCATTATTTTATTTGTTATATCTGCTATATCAATATATGTAATAAATAAAATTCTGTCCTGCTGCAGATAATAGTGAGAATTTTCTCTTCAGTTATAGTATAAGGAAACACTTTAATTTTGTTAATCCTTTATTTGTGTCTGATTGTATGAGCTAGTGTAGAGCCATACCTTATTCACATTTAATTGGATTTGTTGTGTAGTTTTTGTATTATTATAATCCTTCTGCTTACCCTTTGCACATTGTTTATTTTTATAAATATCAAAGAACTGACTTAACAAATTGGTGCCTTCTGCCAGAAACATAACTCAAAAGTCCCTAATATCACTAAAAATCCTTTACCCTACCATAAATTTCCTATTTTCACCTAAAATTTTATGATTAATAACATTTATTAATTATATTAATTCTTATGAATTTAATTCATTAGTAATGAATCTGCTGATATTAAAATAGAAATAGACTTTTCTTAATAATTTGGAATGTAAATTTAATGCTATAAGCCTTATTATACAATAATAGTATTCATAAATGGAAAAGTAATGATGATCAAACATTTATTTTAAATACATGATATAATTAAATAGATTTCATTAAAAAAAAAATATTAGTATTAATATATATATATTTTAAGGGAAAATTTGATGATCAGAGATCCTCTCAATGGTGTTGGAAGTATTAGAAAACCTTGCACTCATTCTGAAATTTTTAAATTCTTTATAATACCAGAAATGGACAACATTAAGACCTTTTTGTTGGAGTTCCTTGCTAGACCAATGAGGTTTAGTTAATAGATTATCCTTTTGTAAAAGTGAATAACCCATAATTTTGATGACTGGAGTTGCTGAGCATAGGAAAATATTTGTAAAAAGTGTTTATCCAAAGTTGGGCAAGATGCTGTCACAAGTAGTTCTAAGATGAACACTTTCTCTAGGAACTGATACAGCACATTCAGAATTAACATATAAATGTTTTGAACTTTTATATGATCTTGTTGATTCTTATAAAATGATCTTAGCATTCAACTCTGAAATATTCAACTCCAGGATCTTAAAAATATCTAATGAAGAATCAGAATGATGAGAAAGTAGCAAGGCAATCTTCATTATGTTATCCATTTTTCTTTTCCTTGATAGTGATATAGTTGTTGCTATTGCTGCAGTAGTTGTTATTGGTAAAGCTGGTGCTGGTGCTGATATTGCTGGTGCTGGCATTGGTATAGGAGAGAAAGAAGGAGATTTGGATTTTTTCATGTTTTATTCTAAAAAGAAGAAAGAGAGAAAAGGTGAGTATATGGGAAATATACTCAGTAAATATAATAAATAGGAAAATGGAAATATGACCAGAATAGAAGGGAATGTAAAAAAAAAAAATGCATATATATGTATATGTATATATTAAAATAGGATGTAAAAAGGGAGAGTAATTGGTGCTAGGAGCTGTTAAGAAAAATTCTTTGTGCTATAAAGGAAGGTCTCCTCCAGAATTAGTAGACCTTTATAAAAGAACCCAAAACAGAATCCTTAATGCTTGTAAATATATTCTATATAACTACGACTATAACTAAAAACCTAAAGCTTCAAGTGAAAATCTGCAACCAATAAAATATATTATCAAATACACACCAAAATTTAAAGATGCTTACCTTTTTTTCCTACTTTATCAGATTGGAAACCATATTGTGAATTTCAGTTAATACCAAGAAATCAGAATCCAGAAGGTATAGCATATTATAGAAAATATGGTTATTATTATTTTTAAGTTAGTAGTACCAGAAGGAAAATTAACAGTAATCCAAGTAGAGAAGTCTTTAAGTGACCATTGGGTTGGAACAACCTGCCAAGAGTAATGAAGTTTGCCCATTGGAAAGTTGAAAGCAGTAGTTGTAGATATGTTTATAATTTGTAGCATGAAATAAGAAATATAGTTTAAGCATTTCAGTATCATTTAAAACTTTATTTCATAATATTGTGTTGAACTTGCCAGTATTTTCATGCTATAGAACATGTACTCAGTAAATCCCACTAATCATATTGCTTATTGCAAATTGGTTAAACTTATTTCTGAAATCTATGAAAAATTTTTGGGATTTTCCAGATAGCTTTTTGCTTCATTAGAATGTATTTTGATTTTAAAAATTTTTGTAATAATTTCCAAATATTTTGTTTAACAATAGGTAAGAAAAGTTTCCTAAAATCTAGGTGGGCTTTAGAAGCAGCTACAGTGGTGTTAAAATGAATCTAAAGGATTGATATAAGTCTTCAGAAATATAAGAATGGAGAAGTAATAAAGCTTCAACAGAAATGGAAAGGTCCTTGAACATCCACTTGAAAATACTAGAATATTCAATTGAATCTGTGATATATAAGGAAAGTTTATCCATATGTTTAATGAGAATTTCTTTTGCAATCTTGGCAAGCTATATGAAAGTATTTAAAATGTGAGAAAGTAACACAGAGCAACTTCATATATGCTTGTTAGTTTCCATAGTTCCATGATATAAAAGACAAGAGGTATCATGTTTAATAATATTCAGAAAATTACAATCTAAAATATCCAACATTGGTAAAGTCATAAGATTCTTATAATTAGCATCTGTTTTCTCTTGTCATCTATTATTATTCCATATTTCAGTTGTGTAAAATAGCCTCCATCTGAGAATATTTATTTTCTTTATTATATTCAGCTATTTCTTTATCTTCCTTTAATTGTACATTAGCTTTTGGAAGTTGACATATTTCCTCTTCCAGCTTAACAATTTTCTCATCTCTTCGTATAACCATTTTTTAAGCATTCCAGGATTCTTCTTAAGACATACCAGATTTATCCTTCTCTTCTTCTTCCTATGACCAAATATTGGATGAATATGTTGATAATAATCCAGAATAATTTTTTTTTTCATTTCTAACCTCAATTTATACTTAAACATATAATTCAAGAAAAATATCATCTAGTATTTGTTCAGGTAAATACTGTTTTCCATTTGAATCAAATGAAGACTTTGTAATAAACCATTTTCCACTAGGAGGACTGGATAAGATCATTAAAGATCATTCCTTTTATTACTTGTATATTGGATTTGTATAGCACCTTTTTAAGTTTATTGTAACTAAACTGAGAATTGATTTTCTCAGAGGAAAAATGGAAGAGTCTTTATGATATAATAAGTTAAATTTGCAAAATTTAATGAAATAAAACTTTCCATAGTTGAATATTTGTTACAGTCACTTGAAATGAAATATATTATTTTTCTCTCCAAAAAATTTGGTCATGTGATCAACAGAAGAGAGTCCTACTTATTCATTTAAATTTTGTAATAATTATATAAATAAACTATTAAATTAAATTATTAAATATTAGAGATAAAAAATTCAAAGCAACAACTAATATAAAGAGAGGGCCATATCAGAGACTTCTTCTTCATTCAATATTATTCTATGTTTTTGCAAAATAGTTTTTTGCTTGTGAATATTTATCTCCAGCCCATTCTTTGTCTTCTTTCAATTAACTTTTCTATTCATATATTTTGTAGATTTTTGCTTAATCCTATAATTTAATATTTACAAATAGTAAATATAACAATTGTATTATATTGGTATATTATTATTATATAGAAATGATAATTAAATGAGTTGCTTAGAGAAATAAATAACTAATGTAAAATTATTGAAGATTTTAATAACAAATGTAAAATGTGAATAATATTATAAAAATGGGTAATAAAACTTTACTAGATTACTTTTTAAAACTATGAAATAATTATAATTATGTTTACCAAGGTAAATATTTTTCCTTATATTATAATGAAACTATTGTTTGTGTTTGATATTCAATTCTTGGTATTATTACTTTTTATAAATGTACTTTCTTTTGCTTGTTGTAATGATTTTTCATATTAAAATATATATCACTAAATCTACTTATTATACCTATTTATAATGTTTATTTTTCTTTTCAATTTGAATTTGTTTTTTTACACTGTTTTATCCATTGATATTCAAAAATAAAAAAAATAAAACCGCAATAATAATATTAAAATAATATCAATAGAGTAATGTAGAAGGTCTGTCCATCTTTGTCATGTATAAAAAAAATATTGCAAGTCATGTAAAGTATAAACTGTTAATGCTAAAAAAACTTAAGATGATTTAAATTCCTTAAATGTCCTCTTTCATTTAATATATAGATTATTAATTTTTTAAATAAATTTTTTAACATATCTTTACAACAGTGCTTTCTTTCCATTTTCAGATTTCAGATTCTTTAGAGTTGTACTTACTACAGTGATGGTGGATGATTATTAAGTTTCCTATATAAATACTGTATAATAGTCTAATAAATATCTTAAAAATATAAATCATAATAATCTTGTTATTATCTGTCTCCTTCCTATATACAAAGTATTAATTTAAAATCAATATACAGTATTTACAAAATACATAATAAATATAAATATAATATGAGTTTTACTTACATTTGATTTAATATTGATTGATAAATATTATATTGAATTTTTTTTATTGAAGTTACATTCTGATGGTATGTTTGGTTTATCTGACAGTAATGATAATGGGGCTGTATTTAGGTACTCCAATTATGAAGATATGCCCATGATTTATCAGATATTACAACACCATATTTATTTTTAATCACAGCACATTTATGAGTTTATTAATATGAATATTAGAATCTATACAATTAATAAGATGCCATGCTATACTAATATAATTGACTTCCCCATATGTGCACTGTTGATTAATCATTTTTTCTGTGCAAGTAGAATACTAGAATATGTGTAAAATAAATCATCTTAAATATGATAGTTCTTGCAGTCTTAGGATGGTGACTAAGGGACCTGCTGCATTCCAAATCTATAATATTATTTATGACATAAATAGGTATATTAACTCTGAGCTTTTCAGTATGTTGAGTTAGACCATGCAGTTGTTGCTAAATCTTTTTATGATAAGCTTGGCAAAAAGTTTCCTTAGACATTCTATTAGAGAATCAGTTTAGTGTTGTTCAGCCTATATTGCTTTTGGGAATGGAAAAATTTTGCAAAGTGGTCCATTCATTTGGAAAGATTAGTGTGATTGATAGATGATTTTGTGAATCATTGGAAAAAATCATGAGCTTTGATGCCTGTTTTTTTGATCAATTTGTATCCAATATTTGATAGTCCAGGTGCAGATTTATCATTGCATTCTTTTAAAGTATTGAGCCATTCATCCTGTTCTAGTTCTCTCATTATATTTGTGTATATGTTGTCATTAATCAATGCAATAGGTTCATAGTAAGGAATCCTATCTGGTTGTATGGTATCAAATCCATGTTTATGCTTTTATTAAATGTCTATGTATTATTCTGCACTTTTATCTAAAATCTTATTCAGATCAGTGATCAAATTTATTTATCTAGTATCTTTATCTTTGTATTTAAAATAGTCAAACACAATTTTTCCTTAGTGTCAGACTGTCAGTTCAATAAACTATTTAACATTTTAGTTTGGTTGTTTTGAATCATCAAAGCCCATTTATTGATATACACACGTCAAATGACCAAAAACAAGCAAAAAAAATGGCTAGAATTGCATAAACTATTCGCAAATTTATATAAACTATTTACAAATAGTATAGGTTAATTCGCAAATAGCCAAAAACAGCCAAGAATAGCTAAGAATAGCTAAGAATAGCCAAGAATAGCCACTGCTTTTTGCGCCATTTTTTTTGCCGATTTTTAGCATTTCGACCTGTGATAATCTTCTATTAGTCTATTAGTACATTTTCCACTTTTGAACTATATTTTTTAATGATGTTAAATGTGCTTGACCATACTTATTTAATGTGCATAGCCCATTTGTTATTCCAAGTTTTAAAAATAGGAAATAAAATAAAAAAGTTACTCAATAACAAATTTAATTTTATATCGACCAGATTTTTCACAAACTACCAGTTTTGGACTATCAGCCTGAAATCATTGGCATTCCAGCTTATTATAATTAAATAATTAGTAGTAATTTTTAGCAAAATGATTAATAATGTATAATGAACTAAGTCATATTAATATATAAACTAATAAGTAAATTTCTGGTACTTCCTCCACTTTGTTATGTTTATTAATGAATTTGATATAATTGCTGAATTTATTTCTGATGTTTGATGTTGGTCATTACATGCCAATTTAAATATTTGTTGCAGGTTGAATACATAAGTTTCAATCTCCACATTTGTATTTATAGTATGAGTCAGTAGAGCTGATTGCTTTTTAGACATATTATTATCATTTTTGATCTTATTAACCATTTACTTACACACAACACAGTACTGGTGCTCTTTATGCATCTATTTGTAATCTTCCAAGATCAGAAAGGAATAAACCTGAAAATATTATATATTTAGGTTTTTTGCCAGGGCTGAAAGAGGTGGGGTTAGAACGAATCAATCATTATTTATCTCCTATTGTAGATTATGAGGGATCATTGCTTTTGCACTTTGTAACATGACATCTTTAATACTCATCCATATCTTATTAATATCTGATGATAAACTGTATTGTTCTTTATAGTTTATTCAAATAATTCCACAAATCAGAGTTTGAAAATTTACTGAGCATGAGACAAATGTATGTAATAAGCAAATGCTAACATTTTATTTGCCTTTCTTCATCAATACCCAGAGAACCTAAGGAGCCTTCACTCAATCACCAATTCTTTTCTTTTTTGTTAGCTTCATTTATATTTGTTTCTGTATTCACACCTGTCTGTAGCTGTTGCATAAATCAGTGGTATCAATTTTGCTTGAGTCCACTGCTTGATAGTTGTTTTCTGATATTATTTCTGGTATCATCACTGGTTTTTTCCAAATGCTCCAAACATATATTTCTTTATATTTCTGTAAATTTTTCATCAAGAACATTAAGAGTTCAAATTTAAAATAATTGAAATATATTATTCAACAAAGTTAGTGTTGTTAACAGTCCATAAATAATCTATTCAATTTTAAGAATAATTAATATATTACTAAATCTATAATATTCTTTTCATACATTTTTTATATACTATTTATTTGTATATTAAGTGTCATTTGATGTAATATCTTGATTTATGATATCAATCATCCATTTTTGTTTTTCAAGTTTTAAAGCTTTTTAAGTAATGCCATATTTCCCTATGAAATCTTTTGTCTTTCTATTGGCATATTTTCCATTTATTTTAACATTAATAGTTCCTTTTCAAATTTTCAAATAATAAATAATTTATGAAATTAAATCATAATTATTAGTTATTAATATTTTAAATTATTCATAGTTGAAATTATAAATTCGAGATTATATTTTTGTCTAGTATTATTTTCTTTCCATTTACCTAGTTTTTGTTGTAATATCTCATTAATTAATAATTATAATTCTTTAATCACTTTGACACAAAAATCCTTTTCTGTTGTCTTATTATTATTACATTTGATCTCATGGAAGGCATAATATCAAAATCAAGGCAAATTGGATATGGCTTCCCCTTGTGCTTGTTTCGCACGATCTTCTGCCACATTCGAATAGTTTCCTGAGAGGTTTTACTGATTTTCGTGCTTATCAAAATAATTATTTTAGTTCTAAATAAATACACGAATTAAAAGTATATGGGAAACAATGATAAACTTTATAAACCCTAAGATATATATACCATGCTTTTTTCTTTATAGATTCATCATAATTAACATATTTGGCCATATATAGACTAGCAATTCCTGTGCCTTTTATTATTCCAGTAACTATGTTTTTTTTTCAGGATAATATAATAAGTCATTCTTTAAATCTTTTCAATATTTTATTCAAATATCCCCTAGTTCTCAGGGTGGTGATTCGTAATCTCCAAATTATAACGATTAAGTATCATTAGCCATCATCCAAGTTTGCCAACGGGGTTAGTCACTTTCATGAGGTATTTCAATGCAGCGTGGTCAATGATAACCATGAATTTTTGACCATGTAATGATGTAAATGGTGATGGAAATATTTAACAGCCCATACTATCACCAAACATTCCAATTCAGTAACTCCACAGTTTCATTCATACTTATTCAAGGTCCGACTTGCATAAGCTATCATCCTTTTCTTATTCAATTCATCTTTTTGTGACAATATAACTCCTAGAGCAAAAGTCAAAGCATCCATAAAAATAATTTTGCAATAATTCGCAATTTTGAGCTTCAACTCTAATTTAAGCATTTATACAACTATCAATGATGTTTAAAAAAACTATTATTCTCTTTATAATGAAAATTTTTCCTAGTTATATGTGGTATTAATCTTATTATTATTATTGAATAATCAAATTAGTGATCAATAAAAAAAAATCCCACCAGAATTATATTTTGTGAAATAATTTTTTAGTATAGGATTTATGTATTTTATAACAAATTCCTTCTGATCTTTGGAAGATTGACTTATGGTCGAGTTTATGTGGTAGTCTTCTGACAGTAACTATAAACCATGTTCAATTAAAATCTGTTTAATTCCTTTTGGTTCACCATTTTAATTTATTGAGAATATCAATTCTAAAAACGTAAGAAATATCTATCCAGTGTGGTAAGAACAGGATAACAAATACAACAAGATTCGTCAGGTAATTTCAATAAAGGGATATTAATAAGATATATATGGTGAAACTGATCGTGACGTTTCAAGAGGTATTGATTGATGTTGATTATTTGACCCAAAAACTGAGTCCCACATTTTGATTATTGCAACTTCTACTTCACTTGTCCATGTGACATTTGCTAACATTTTTTTCCTGATCCTTATATTGTATACAAGAAAATAATTCACTTGAGCATAAAATGTTTTTGTTATAAATTCTGGTGTAGCAATTGGTATATTTGCCCATTTGTCAACTTCTATACGTTCTTTTTCAAGATTTACCGTAAATTGAGGCGTTGTCCTCTAGGAGTCAGCTGGTCCATATCCATAGTGTCATCATTTACCAGTTCATTGATATTTAGGGATTTCAGAAGAAAGGAACGAGATGTTTGAAGTTGACCAGCAGTTGAACTTTGGACAAGAGCACGTTCATAATAATAAATTATAGATATATAAAATAAATAAAGACATTGTATAATATTATAAAATTTCACGTGAAAAACTAGAATAGAAAACTTATTTTATAAAAAGTGGGATGAAAGCGAAAGAGAAAATAAAGAAAAAAAATAATTTCATAAAAAGTATAAAATATAAAAATAATTATAAACAATAATAAGTTTAAAATAAAAATAATAAAAGATAATATACTGTATATATGTAAAAAAAAAATATTAAAAAAACATTTATTTTTGGATGAATTAAAAAATTTGTTAATTAAATTTTTCATTTACTAAGTTCATAATAAATATAAATAATGATTAACAATTTGTTTAAAAAAAAAGTTTGACAATTTCAAAGATAATAAATGTTTGTGTTTTAAAAGAAGAATATATATAAAAAAAAGTAGTGTCAATAATTTCAATTGATTTTATTATAATTATAATTATAATATTTTTTTTTTTTTTATATAAAAAATATATGTAAAAATGTGTTTTGTAAAATTTTTAGATATTTTTTTTATTATTATTACATAGCTAAATAAATGATTGGATATAATAGAATGTTGAAAAAGTATTAATAGTAAAAAAATTTTTTTTTGTTAATTTATTTCATTAAAAAAAAAAAGAATAATATAAGGAGAAAAGTTTTGAGGGGTTTTTATAGTTTCATAATTAAGTAATAGATTTTGTCCAAAGCCACAATTAATGTGAAAGTTGGCTTGGAATCAAAAAATTCTAAGCCCATAATTCATATGAAATTATTACATAATGTAGATAATGTAGAAGCCCTAGCCCCTAGGAGATCATAATATGTACTGTACCATGTGAATTCCATGTATTATTAATAAACCAACATATTAAAAAAGGCAGCTATAACAATTAACGAGCATCGGGATCGTAAAATTCAACAAACGTAAACAGATTGGGACTAATTGACCTCCCAAAATACAAAAAATATGGTTAGGTCCTCTGTTTAAGGAAAGATTTCGTAAGTATCCATTTTTTTCTATAGAAAAAGTATAATTATTATAGGTGGCACCATTTATTATATTAATAAATACAGTATTTCTTCATCTATTTTATTTTTAATATTGATTTACGGTAATCATTAATAAATTATTTATCAAATAAAAATAAATTAAAAATAAAGAATCACGAATTCACGATTTATTATTAAAACTTACAATTGTCAACATAAAAAAAAAAAATTAAACACATATAATGCTCATTTGAAAATAAACTTTTACAATTCACAGGATGTTGAATATTTAATAAGTTGCAAGTTGCAGTTCAAGGATTGTAAATTTCTATGTATGGAAAATGTTACTTATTGACAAAAGGCTACAGCTAAAGCGATACAAATAAAAATAAAATAAAATAAAAAAATAATAAATATATAAGAATCAAAAAGAAATGAAATAATGAAATAATTTTAATTTATTATCGAAATTGTCTAAATTGAGTAAAATGAATATTATCGTATTGAGAAAAAGTTGGTATAAGAATAACCTTATACCCAGGGATCTCAAAAGTATGGATCTCGGACCGAGAAGGGCTAATAATATTAGTCATATTAAATGGATTTGGTGGAGAACAGTTATTAGTCATGTTAAATAATAAATTTGGTGGATTTTCAACATTTTGTTGAGATGGAAGAGGGTAGGAATGCGAAGTAGAAGCAATGCTTTCGTTAAGCGCAGTATAATTATTATTTACGTAAGGCACGTAAGGAGTTGTTGAAGTATAATTATTATTATCATATGTAGAAAAGTTATTATAAGTTATATTTGAAGAATGGCTCTGTTCCGGTCGAATAACAGAATTAGTTGTTGATTGTTGATTATTTTGCAAAGGGTAATTATTATTCATGGTTAAACTCTTAAAATTTATTAGATTTATAAAGTGTTAGAAATTTTTACCAATTTTAATTATTATTTGAAAAAAATCTCGGCTTTTTATAATAAAACGATGTATAGTATTTTAATATCGCGTGATGCAGATTTGAACCAAAAAAAAAGATTGTTTTTATTTATTACATAAGTTAGAAATATATACATTATCTAGATGTTTGATTGTTAAAAGGTTTCTATCTGCAATTCCATTTGATATCCAAGCAATTAAAATAGTATGTAATAAGACTAAATTCATTATATTCTTTTAAAGATTTATTTATTTTTAAGGTTAAGACGGGGTCACTCACCTATACAGTAGATTCATTATAGTTTAATTTTCATTGGCTTGTGGTCATGTTACATTACGTTATTATGCATTTCTGATGACATCAATTTTTAGCGATCAAAATTTTCAATATCCCAACCATCGATTATAAATTTCTACTAATTTTTTTCGATTAAAGCGATTGGTTTAATATGATATTCACGGATAAGATAAATGTTAAATATTGGAATAATTCGTTCAATAATTAACATAATGAATCTTTAAATGCGTACAAGGATTCAATTTTAGAATTGGATCGGAAAAGAAGACATGAAATTCATTGAAAATTATTATTATGAAAGATTCATATGTAATTCTTGTAATCACTCTTTTAATAACAAATTATAATTAAGGATGTAAATTTTACTTACGAATTTGTTTTATTCAGTGTATAATAATTTTAGTAATTGGGCGTTTTTTTTTCATATGTTATTTCTACATTAACTTTTTTAGTTCAACGTAATAAAAATACTATTGTTTGTGTTGTCATCAATGATCAAATCAAAAAATGATTTAAATGTTGAAAAAAAAAGTTGTGGAATAAACAAATAATGTAAATTTAAGATAGATGTACAGTATGTTTTTAAGTTTAAAATGGTAAATCCTGAAAGTCTTTGAAGGTAACATTCAGATCTTCAATTGTTTTCAATGTTATTTTTAGTTTTTACCCAATTTTAAGAGTTTTATGACAATTGATAGTTATGATAGTTATGAGAAAAAATTATTTTGTTCATACCCAAGTTATTAATTTTTTTTTCTTTAACCAAGAAAATTGTTCTTTTAGAAAAAACGAAATTTTTTTGAAAAAACAGCAAAAATTTTCGTAAATTATTTTTAACTACGATTTTTTTTTATTTATTAAACCTGGTAAAAACGGCAACTTCATTCATGAAAAAAAAAGAATCTTATTAGTTTCACAAATTCAGCCGAAATTTAGAACGGCATACCAAATAAGGATAAACTTCCATTACAATGATAAGCTAAACCATATTTGTATTTATTGTATTCCCGTCAAAAAGAGTTTTTAAAAAAAGGAAATTCTTTCAAAGTGAAAGTTGTGTGGCTACACAACAAAACGATTAAAATGAATATTATAAACTTGTTCTAGCGCTGTTGAAATTTGGAAATGATAATAAAGAAATAAGAATAAAAGAAAGTTTTTATGTGAATCTAACCTAAATAAGTCATCAGTAAAACGATAAAAAAAAATTTAATTCCTAATTTCCCAAATTTTATAACTAGGCAAAAAAAACAAAACAAACACAACACATCTATTTTATGTTTTGTCATTCATTCCATTCGATTTTTTCACGCCTGTGATGTCACGTGAAAATGTATATCATATATCATATGCGGTGATCTTTAACAGTTGTGATATTTAACTATAATAACCTCATTGATTTTTGAGTGATGAATTTCCCTGTATACTAGCTGTAGACTGTTGCGTTGCAACAGGATTAATTTATGCTAATATACTGTCCATCTTTATATTCGTGGCCTTTTTCCTTTTTCTGCTGTAGACCTATCTTTCTTTACATAATCTTTTTTACGTTGTTCAGGAAACGGAAAGATGTATGGCAACCACTTTAGTATCATTAAAACATATATGATTCTCAATATAATCAAATATTTTATTTTGTGTCACTACAACTTAACCAAAAAAAATATTACAATAAAAAATGAATAATAAAAAAAAAAAGTCTTTTATTATTGTTGTTAATTATTAATAATAATTAATATCACTAAAAAAATCTATTTAACAATAAGATAATCAAACCGAATTATAATAAAAAAAAAACCTGAAAATACTAATAGAAATTTTTTTTGTGTTGAAAGAAATATCGAAAATGAAAAAAAAAAAAATTAAAAAAAAAATTTATTTTCAGCAACCGAAAATAAAAAAAATCTAATTAAAAAAAAAATTATTTTCGGTTTGAACTAAAATAATAAAAAATAAAAAAAAATGATTAAAAAAAAAAATTTCGGCTTGAACCAAAAAATAAAAAAAAAAATGATTAAAAAAAATTTATTTTTCGGTATTTGAACTAAAAAAAATGAAAATAAAAAAATTAAGAAAAAATTTTTTCAGTATTGGACAAAAAAAAACGAAAATAAAAATAATTAAAAATTTTTTCGGTTTGTAAAAAAAGAACCTAACCAAATTATCGGTAAAAAAAGAAAAAAATAAAATAAAGTGATCTGCTGCGGCTGATCGCATCGTTGGAGATGAAATTAAAAAAGATAAATTGAGCTTAGCCTTATCTTATTAGCAAATATCTGGTCAAAATTTCGAACTGTATTATAAAAAATTTTATTGTTAAATACGAATTATTGCGTTATTTGTCTAAAAAATTTATCACGAATATAATTTTCAATTGCTTCAATGTCATATGAGCCTCCATTTCCCTTGCGTAATGCTTATTATACAAAGCAAAACACATGGTACGCGCTGTTAACATTGAAATGCCATTTTTATACACGTTTTTTGATTGGTGTCGATAAATATAGGGTTAACTAATTGATAGTTGATTCTTAAAAATTCTCTCAAGCTCAGTATTTCTTTTTTAGCTTTCGATATACGGTTTTGTTTGTTTGTTATCTTTTCTTTTAACGATAACAGTACTTAGAATTTGTTTAAACTTTGAATTTATTTTCACTTTCATCTTCTTTGATTTTCTTTCACTTTAATAAGACAATTTAAGACATCAAGCTTGCTTCAAATTTTACCTTTACTCATGAAATCATTTAAAACTAATGTTTGCTAATAATAAATAAATCTTTGTAAGTTATCCGAAATATTATTACTCAGATAATAATACTATCTAACAATAATTCTGGCTAATTTATAACTATTTGTTTATTAAACTTGTTAATTAAATTTGACTTAAAATAATGTAGTTAATGTCATTTTATAATCCTGATTTTTTATCAAATACATTTAAAATTTTTTAACCAATATACTATACATAAAAAGATAATCTAATAACGTTAATTAGTTAAACTAATTTCTCCGATTCAAAAAGAAAATTTCATTCAATATTATTTTCATCATCTTGATTCATTTCATTAAGATCTATAAAATAAATAAAATAAATAAATATATATATATATATATAAGTATTGATAAAATAAAACATTAAAGAATAAATTTCTTACCTGATTCGTCTAATTGGCAATCAAAACCTTCTGAAACTATAAATCAATTAAATTAATAAAATTAACTTATTGATTATATAAATACCAATATAAAAATTACTTACATAATGTTGATTGAATTGCACCTATTGTAAATTATACAATAATTAGCAACATAAATATATTTTTCATTAAAAAGTAATTAAATTAAATTACCTGAATTTACTGGTTCTGGAAGATTTTTAAAATTTAAAAGTCTACTAGTATATATTGCTTGTGGATGTGTTTGAATGTTATTAGATCTTTTTTCACTTGTTCTGTTTAATTTGATCTTATCATCATATTCATCAGCATCAGCAAGTTGCACTTCCTTAAGTTCTTGATACAATTCTTTGGCAGTTGGTCTATTTTCTGCTTTAGCATCCCAACATTTAGTAATCAAATCTGCAAGTGATTTTGGTGTAAATTTAAAAATATTTGGTCTAAGTCCTTTACATATTTAAATAGCTAAAGCATGACTATGAGGAATATTATTATAAGGAGTTTCTTCAGATATATATTCATTCATCATTATTCCAAATGAATAAATATCAGATGCTTTTGTATATTGATGTCCACGTAAAACTTCTGGTGCCATATAAGGTAATACTCCATAAATTCCTTGTTGTTTAATTGATTGCTTTTCATTATTAGCTGGTTGACACATTCCTAAATCACTTATATATGGCCAAGAACCATCATACAATATATTGCCTGAATGAAAATCTTTATGAATTTTTCCAGCATTATGAATATCTAAAAGTCCACTTGCAATTCGCTCTAATTTACTAATTTTTAAACCATAATTTAATTCATTATTCATATAATAATTTCTCAAATTTCCATTTTCACAATATTCTAAAACCATCATATAATCTTTGGTATTTGGATCTTGAGTTATACCATAACATTGAATAACATCATAAAGATAAATCTGAAGATGAGATTTAATCTAATAAAAATAATGAAAAGTGAAAAATTTTTAATAAATATATAAATAATACATAAATAAAATCAAGTAAATAGATTACATTACTAATTTTAATTACCTCATTTAAGAATTCTGTACTTATACAAGAAGAATTATCCAAACTTTTTAATGCAACTTTTCTGCTATACCTTCTCCATTTTTGATTTTCAATATCCCAAGAACCAATACATCCTTCAGGCCATTCAGCCGAATAAATTTTACCAAATCCACCTTTGGTAATATAAGTAATATCTTCAAAATTTTCAAAAGGTATCCATTCAAGATATTTTTTATAGTACACAGCATTAAGTTG